GTCTCACTGTTCATATAGGCATTCCCATCCTGGGATATTCATTCACCCAAGATAAGAAAAGAAGAAATACACCAAGAACAGAGGTGTCATGTGATACTGGAAACATGGCAGTTGCCTGGAGACATAAGGCACCTGAAGCTGCTGCCCTTCCCCCTACCTTGAAGTGTTCCCTAATTTGTCTCTTCAAAAGCTCTCAGGGAAGAGAGCAAGAGGTTCAAATGAAATAATGTGTGGAAAGTGTTTTGCAAATCTTAAAGTGCCTATATAAATGTCAGTTATTAGTGTCAGAAGCAGTGTGGCATAGTGGATAATGGGCTGGCACCAGAGCTAAGAAGACCTGGGTTCAAATTTTGCCTTTGATGCATTCTAGCTATATAGATCAGGACAAGTCATTTAATTTCTTTGAATACTATGCAACTTTCTAGGTCTATATGTCATAAGAATGTGTCAACTTGCCTTAGAGGAAGGAATTTCCTTACATGGGAGTTCCCTAAACCAGAAATCAGCAAACTACTACCCAAGTATCAAGCCCTGTTCACCACCTATTTTTGTTCAGCCTCAAACTAGGAATGGTTTTTACATTTTAAATACAATAATTTAATTGTAAATTGTAAATTGTAAAAGTCATTCCTAGCTCACTGGCTAGCAGGCAAGATTGGCCATGGTTACAGTTTGCCAATTCCTCCCCTATACAAATAAAATCACAGGTTGTTGTCCCTATTATTATTTCTTTTTCATTTTTTCCCTTGCTGGAGTTCAGAAAGAAAAGGCCCAGGGACTTTTTGCTATCTTGCTATTATTCTTTACATTTAATTTTCTGTGAACTATTGTGCAGGTAGATAAGGTGACTGCTTTTTGTAATTGAATGAAAGTATTGGCATGTAAGCTCATTTTCTGGAAGCTACTGTAAGCATCTTTAGGATGGCTTCCATAGTAGACAAGATGACAGGACTAATAAATACATTCTGTTTCCAATATGGTTTTGATTTTTTCTGCTAGGACTCTACAGTGAGAGAGCCTTTTATTCTACATTGCTTAGAGATTATGAGTGTTTGTTGTGGCAACATTTATTAAAACATTTTGAATATTTATGAATCAATGTTATGACTGGGTGATTATAGGCAACAGTTTTGTCTGTAATAATGCTGCAGTTCCAGCACAGCTTATTTGTCTAATTCTAAAAAAAATTTTGGGATCTGTATTTGTAATACAAAGACTTATCATCTGTTTAGCTTATGAAAGATAATGGCAACTGGCTGGTAGTGAGATGGCTACCTGGTGGGTTGAAGAAGAGAAAGGGTTGTCAGGAGTGAGGGGAAAGGGAAGGCTACTATAGGGACGTCAAGAATGAGAAGAGGGGATTGATACTTTCTGTAGCAAATTGTGGACAGCCTGGCTCTCAACTCTGTTTGTGCTTCATTGTACTTTATCCTCTGGAGCACTCAAAACAGTCCTTACTGGGACAGCCTTATGGGAATACCCACTTTCTTTAGAGCTATAAAAAAAACTTAAAAATCAGCAAATGGATCATATTATAGATGAGGAAACTGAGACCCAGGGAAGTGACCTGGCCAAGGTCACACAAGAAGCTCATAGCAAAGCAGCACTAGAATCCAGGTCTAGTGCTCTGGAACCTGATATTTCCCAGAGTACCTTGTGTTTTTTCCTTGCGTAATTTCCCTCGAGTAACTTGTGCTAGGTGAAAGAAAGAGTGGTAACACAAGATCTTTCTACTCACTCTACATATAGGATTGATAGTAGAGGGATTCAGGGAGCCTCAGGGGGATTTACTGATGACCTATAGTCAAGCTCAAGATTTTCCTTGGCCCTATAGTGGGACTTAGGCGGAGGCTCAGATGTAAGGTCAATTAGAGAATGACTACGAAATGTGGATTCTTCAGTCTAGGAAAGGCCAAGAAGCACTATTATCAACAATTATCTGATCATGAAAGGGAAGGAGAGAGTAAACAAAGATTTATTCTTCAAATCCAAATCCTCAACTTTAAAATTAAGGGCCTCTCTTGTAGTTTTCACACAACTGGAAGAAAGCCTACAGAGCTCATTATCTCAAGAAGTTGCCCATGCTGAAAAATATGCACAGGTTCAAAAAGGGCCTGATAGATTAATGAAACTTTCATTCACAACAGTTTTATAAGGGATTTTAGGATGTTTATGGCACAACCCTCCCTGGCCACCATTCTATGAACAGATACACTATTTATTACTGCTGTTATTATCATTGATACTATTACTATCTGGCTTTGAAGGCCCTAGGCTGATTGAATATTAGGATTATAGATTTAGAGATGGAAGGGATCTTAAAGGCCATCTAATCCAAACTTTCATCTTACTGATGTGAAAACAGAGACCCAGAGAGATTAAATTACTTGCCCAAAATGACACAAGGAGTAAGTGACAGAGACAAGATCTGGACACAGGTCCTCTAACTCCAAATCTAGCACCCTTTCTGGTGCCTCAGAGACCAGAGATGGCATGAATGTCACTACAAGGACAAATTTACTACTGGTGCCCTAAGACAGGTTTGTGTTATCCTAGCCCTAGAGACCCTGAGTAGTAGGGATGATCACCCTAGTCTCCAAATTGGATGCCTTTTATTTTTATATTACATTCATTTATGACTATATCTCTCTATCCTTCCTCCCCCAACTAGCCATGTTTGATCACAAAGATTAAAAAAAAATAAAGAAAAGAAAGCAGTTCAGCAGAACCAACCAGCATAACAAGTGTCTGGCAACGTATATGTATGTGTGTATTGGGTCTGTGTAGGTGTGTGTGTGCGCACATGTGTATGCACATGTGAGTGCACGTGCACATACTATTCCATAGGCATAGAGGGAAATGCATTTTTCTCAATGCTCCTCTGAGACCAAGCTTGATCTTTTTAATTCCACAAAATGATTCAGTTTCTTTTTTTAATTTTATTTTTATTGCTATCTTTTGTGTTTACATCATCTTCATTTCTGTGTATCCACTTCCTTCCCTAGTGAGCTATCCTTTATAACAGATTTTAAGAAGAGGAAAAAAAGTTCAGCAAAACCAATCAATATATTAATTGTACCTAATTGCTTATAAAATATTCTACACCCACAGCACCCAAACGTGAAAAGAAGGGAAGGAAATATATTTTCTTAACTCTTCTCCTGGGCTGTCTGGATATTATAATTGCAGACCATTCAGTGCCATTTTTTTTTGTTCTTTCCATTTAAATTGTAGTCACCAAGTACATTATTTTTCTGGATCCTTTTTATTTTCATGAATAAGGTCACATGTCTTTTCATGCTTCTCTGAATTCTTCATATTTACTGTTTTTTATGGTGCAATGATATTCCAATTCATTCACATACCACAATTGATTTGGCCATTTTCTAGCAGAAAGACATCTACTTTGTTTTGAGTTCTTTGCTACTAAAAATATGCTTCTATTAATATGTTGGTGTGTATGAAACCTTTCTGCTTCTCTTTATCCTCTGTGGGGTTTATGCCTAGCAGTGAGATCTAAACTATGGGTCAAAAACTAGGGATATTTTGTACACATTTTTTGGGTATATTTCTAAATTGCTTTCTAGAATGGTTGGGTCAAGTCACAGGTCTACCAAAGGTTTGTTAGTTAGTGTTCTTGTTTCCTCACACCCTGCAATATTGACCATTTCCATTTTTTGTTGTCTTTTCCAATTCATCAAGTGTGAAGTGAACCTCAGAGTTATTTTTATTTGCGTTTCTTTTATCATTACTGATTGGAGCATTCTTAGTTGTTACTAGTTCATAATTTTTTTTCAAGAATTGTTTGTTCATAATCTTTTAACCATTTATACGTTAAGACTGGAATGACTCTTGATCTAATACATTTGTATTAATTCCCAATATTTCTTGGATATCAGAAGTTTATTAGAGATATTTTATACAACAATTTTTTTCCAAATTGATGTTTTCATATCTTATCCTGGCTGGCCTTATTGCATTAATTTTTGACTGTGAAAAATTTTAAATTTCATATAATCAAAATTATTTATTCTATCTTTTGTAATCTTTCTTATTCCATATTTGGTTAGGAATTCTCCCTCTAGGCATAGTTGCATCCTCCTTGTGTCCACCTCCATCCAATTTCCCTTAATTTTCTTTTATGATGACCTTTTATATGTAAGTCAAGTATCTATTTGGAAAGTATTGTGGCATATGGTACTTGTCTAAAACTATATTTTACCAATTCTATTCTTTCTGCAATTCTTATTAAATAGGGAGCTGTAGCTATCTTTCAAATAAATAAGATCCCCTTCTGAGACAATAGAACATTTTAATATGGCTTTTCTCCCATTTGGACTTTACACAGCAGTTTGTACCACTTGTATGCATTTATAGTAAATGATTTTGTGTTGTAGTTATTTGTGTTGGCTCTATTGGTGAAGTTTAGGTAAGGTTCCATGTTTTGTTCCTCTTTTTTTTCTCCAGTACACTCATTTATTTTAATTTGATTTGATGGTTTTTATTGTTACATTAAATTCCTTTTCTAATAGGTCTCCTCCTCTTCCTCTCCTACCCAGCAAAGAACCCCTTAAATCAAAGACTTAAAAAAAAAAGAAAAAAAGCAATTAAATTTGCTTCCTGATCAAACAGAAAGAGCAGCAAAAGAACAGAAATGGTATGGGTTACTAACTAAAGACATCCAATCAAGAACTTAGCAGGTCCCATTCCACTTAGCACTTAATCATACCTTGTCTCCTATTAATCTTTAATTGTTTCAGTTGTCTCTCCAGCCAGAGTATAAATTCCTTGTGGGGTAAAGTGCAGGTTTTATAATTTTTCTGCATCCCTGTAGTGTAAACATTCAATAAATATTTGCTTCATTAGGCTTAGTGGAGGTAGGTGGTTTTTTTTTTTTTTTTAACCTTTGGGTTGGGACTGAGTTGATTATCATAAAGGACTGCTTATAACATGTATCTTCTCAATTTGCAGACAGGTTGCATGTGGACAGTTGGTCTGAGATGGCAGTTTTCAGACAGGTAAGCTGCTGATCTTTGGGGTTCTAAGACAAAATGGGGGGAAGTTATACAAAACCAAGTGAAATCTGTTCTCAGCATGAGAGGAAAAGTAATAGATGCAGTTAAACCTTATCTGGGAGAGAATGGAGGGAAGAAGAATCTAGAATGCAAAACTAAAAGTTGATATCTGAACAGAATCAGCGGAGTACGTCCATAGTCCTCCTTTCTTTCAGGAACCAATTGGTACCTGCTGTTCAGGGTTCTTGTGAGACTCAAGTGAGATAAAGGGAGAAAATTTTTGCAAATTAAAAAGCAGGATGACTCGTTTGCTGTTGTTTTTATTGTTGTCTCTCATTCCTATGATGAATCTTCCCAAGAGAAAACTAGGTAGTGAAGGTTAGTCCTTGGGATATGGAAGGAAGATTATATATCAAACCAAATATTCAGCTCTATTTCATATTCCCTTCTGTGCCCAGTCCCCCAACCCCCACAGTCCTTCATACTCTCTCAGCCATATGTGGAAAGATTGCTTTGTTCTTGAGAGGGAAAGCTATAGAACTTTTCATTCCAAGTCTTACTTGAACACATCTCCCCCTGCCTACCCTCTAGCCCCATACAACTTAAGAGTACCTTCAAAGGACCATGCTCTTTCTAAAAGATCAAATGTCAAAAATAAAAAGAATAAAATTCTTCTCCCTGTATACAAAACCATGGTGAATACATATCTAAAAATCCATACAGTTCTGGTCACCACTCCTTAATGGAGACCCAACAGAACCCAATTAGAAAATCCAGACAACAAAAAAAAATCCGGCCCAACAAAATAGTCAAAAGGATGGGGTAACTGCTAGAGGAGGATGGACTAAAAGATATATTTTCCATCAGAAAAAGAAGACTGACATATGATAGATGTCCATTAGACCAAGGAGTGTGTAGTTTTTAATCTTTGTCTCTTCTCCAGCACCTAGAACAGTGCCTTATAAATAGAAGGTGTTTAAAAATAACAGCTCACAATTGTATAGCTCCCTAAGGTTTGTGATTTCCTTATAACAGCTTTGTGTGGTAGTTAGCACAAGAACTATCACCCCCTTTGTGCAAATGAGGAAACTGAGCCTCAGAAGGATAAAGTCACTTGCCCAGGGTCTCAAAGCTAAAATATGTCAGAGCCCTGACTAGAGTACAGGCCTCTCCTGACCCCAAGTTCAACATTTTTTCCACGGCATTGAACTACCTCTAAAGACATTTAATAAAATTTAGTTGAGTATTGAATGAATGAAGGATATAGGTAGGGAAATTTTAGGGTTAGGGATCATGTGCCAGAACAATGGGAGGCCTCACAGGGGACTGAAATAAGTCATTTTAGGAAAAATCCTACTTTACACAAACAGGGAATAAACATATGACACTTTACTTCTAGAGATGTTAAGTCAATCAATCAAGTATTTATTATGCACCTACTTTGAGTCAGGCACTGTGCTGGATATCAAAGATACAAAGACAAAAATGAAACAGTCCTTGCCCTCAAGGAACTTACATTTCACTGTGGAAGACAATATGTACAGACATAAATATATACAAAGTGTATGAAAAATAGGTCTAAAGTGATTTTGTGGGGAGGGCACTGGCAGCTGAGGGGAGATTAGGAAAAGCTTCACGTAGAAGTACCATAGTAAATGTAATGTAACTTGAAATAAGGTTTAGATAAACTCAAGAAGGTGTATTTTTTTTTGTGTTTTTTTTTTTGTTTTTTTGTTTGTTTTGTTTTGTTTTGTTTTTGTGTGAGGCAATTGGGGTTAAGTGACCTGCCCAGAGTCACACAGCTAGTGAATGTTATGTGTTTGAATCTGGATTTGAACTCAGGTCCTCCTGACTCCAGGGCTGGTGCTCTATCCAATGAAGTTATCTTAAGGCACAAAGCACGTTCACTGAAGTACATGCTTATTTGTGTACATGTCTTATCTCCCCTATTAAAGTGTTGGTAGTTCAAATCCTTGAAGGTAGTTATTATCTTCTCTGTCTTTCCCTGACCCCATAGGAACTAGTATATGCATTGCACATGACAGATACTCAAGCGATATTTATGGGAAGAATGAATGTCAACTCCATAGTGGATAGTTGAGGTAAAGCTACAAGTATATGAAAATCCAAATTGGGCAAGCATTATGTTTTCTTTACCAAAAGCTTCTTTACTCTTTAGAAAAAAAAATTCACATCAGTATGCCTTTAAGTGACCATCTTTTCTAGTGAATTTAAGATAAATTTGATTCACCTTCAAATTTCCAGGAATTTCTCAATTGCATAAAGAGCCACCTATAGAGTGCTATTAAGTGCACAGCTGAGTTCTCCCTCCTCAAAGGTCCAGCATGCTCTGTCCTACCCACTCTACTCTCTGCCTTGGATCTCCTGAAGGAGAGAGTATTGTATAGAAAAAGACTGAGAGTCAGAATAACCAGATTTAAGTTCTGGTTCTGCCTCTAACTATCTGGAGATCTTAGGCATGACTCAGATCTGGATTTCATTTTCTTTCTTCTGTAAAATGAGGTGATTGTATTAAACAACTTGTAAGGTGCCTTCCAACTCTAACATCTTATGATTCCATGATTTTCAGATATTATCTTTGTGTGTCAAGGACCATAGGACCATGTATCTAGAGCTGGAAGGGACCTCTGAGCAATTTGTTCTAGCTCCCTCATTTTACAAATGAGGAAACTGAAACCCAGGAGAGCTGAATGATTTGCCCAAAGTCATACGGACAGTAAGTGTCAGGTGGGATTTGACAACAGGTCCTCCGACTTGATGTATGACTGTTTGACTCCATGAACACATGATGTAACATTTGATAGAACTAAAGTTGTAATCTATACTGGAGATAATCTACAGATTACCTATCTATGTTCCCTAAGTTTCCCCCTTGACTACTAATGAATGAAAAAGTTTCCTACAATTGAGAATCTTTTCAATTCCAAGTATGCCCAGAAGGAAATCATTACTTAATTGGAAATTATTTGTCCCATAGAGGGAAAATTCTGCAGCAGTCCACCATATGACAGCCTAGGTCAAGATCTTGTCTCATTGATGACCCTCAGCTATGGCTGGGCTCTTCTCTTTTCCCACATACAGAACAGGAGTGACCTTTACCTCCCTCACACATTGAGGTTCAGATGGTATCTCCAATCTGGGTAACCCCTAGACTGAATAACTAGCTTCTCTGAATTCTTGCAAGTTGACATTTCCTAAGGTAAAACCATTCCTTCCAATCCAATGCTATCTTCTCCTTCCCCTTTATATCTCTTTTGCTACCACCCCCAAGTCCTCAGCAGAGCTGTTTTCCTTTAGATAAGGAGACAGCTTCCTGAAGGGAGATTCTACCAAAGCCCACAGATGTGACCTTCACAATTAACTGAAATGTTAGCAGTCTTTGAAAAACCATGAAAGGGGATGATATTATAGAGTTTCCATCTCCTGGGGTATGTACAAAAAGAGAATCAAAGAAACCCACAGAAAGGACAGGTGAGGTATTCAGGCTTTGACAAAGAACCAGCATCATAAAATCTCAAGGCTGGAAGGCACCTTCCAATTCTACCTGAATTAGAATCCCTTCTACAACACAGCAGACAGGAGATTTGATATCAACTTGGAAAGAACTTTCTAGGGAAGTTCCTCATAGATCTGGTCCTCAGTGCCATGTTGCTAACATTTTTATCAGTAACTTAGACTGAGGCAGGCCTCTCAAATTTGCAGGTGATGTCAAATTGGGAAGAATACATAGTACATTGGCTATCAGAGAAGGGCTCCTAAAAGATCTTGACAGGCTAGAATGTAATAAGACAAAACTGAGCAGGAAAAAGTTAAAGGCCTCCCTACACTTTGGTTCAAAGCCCTAATGCATAAGAACAATATGAAGGAGATATGAACCAAATAACACAACTGAAAAACATCTGGGGGTTTTCATAGAATACCAGATCTGAATGAGTTGGTGTGTTCTGGCATGGAAAAAAAGCCATGAAGTCTGCATGAAGAAAATCCTAATGTCCAGAATAAAGGATATGATAGTCTGATAGCTCTGCACTGATCAGACCACATTTAAAATCTTGTTTGTATTCTCATTGACATTTTAAGAACATCAACAAGCTGAATTAGTAGTATTGTGGATAGAGGCAGGACTTAGATCTAGGAAGATCTTGGTTCAACTCTAGTCTTAAGAGAATCACTAGGTATGTGAACCTGGTGGATCACTTAACTTCCCGAGACTCAGTTCCCTCTCTATAATGGGGACAATAATAATACCTCTTTCACAATGTTGTTGTGAGGCTCAAATGAGATGATATATGTAAAGGGATTTGCAAACTTTAAAGCACTATGCAAATATAAGCTATTATTATTACTTTTTTTTTTGATCTGTGATTTCATGGATGTAGGGAACTTCCAGTGAGGAAACTCCCTCTACCAATGCAAATCAGTAACCATTCTACCACAAATTGAGAGCTGCTTTGGGCGATGAGAAGTGACTTGCTGCATTTTACACAGCTAGACTATGGAAACTACATTTTAGGGAGATTTGATGAAGGAACTGGGGATGTTTAACCTAGAAAAAAGACTTTGGGAGGGAGGGGGCATCCATGTTACTTCCCATAAATCTCTGCACCATGAGGAGGTTGAGTACTTCTCTTTCTGGAGAAGAATATACCATGCAGACAGATAAGTAAATATTGGTAATTTGAGGAGGAAGACAGTATTAAAAGTTAGAGGAATCAGAGAAAACTTTAAGAAAGAAGAGACAATTGAGTTGAACCTTGGAGGAAAATAAGAATTCTGAGAATTAGAGACATAAGAAAGTGCATTCCAGGCAACAAAGCCAGGAATTCCAGCTCCCAAGCAAATTTAGTTGGAAGGAAGGGAAAGTATAGGTTGCCCCAGTTGAATGTGGTTGTTTTGAGACAAGGAATAGTCTATACTCCAAAGAATCAGTCTCAGTCCCCACAGCACCTACAACCATTGGGGAAAGATGGGATGGAGGAAGTGGTAGGTGAGAAGAATGGTGGTGGGGAAAGTCAGGTCCAGGGAAAAGACCCTGAGAAGTAACACCAAAGGGAATGAGGCCAATAAACTAAAGGACTACCAAAGGGAGGAATCACCTCCTCCCCCCAAGTTGGCATCCTGGGGTCACCTTCTTTACATTTTGGGGGGGTGGTTTATTCAAATGTATGGAGGTAGGAGAAGGAATGTTGAGATCAATGAACAGGTAGCTGTGGTTGTGTGAAAGAGAATAATCTAATGTATAATAATCTAATGAAAGAGAATAACATGAGATAAGTATGGAAAGATCATCCTAGCTACTTAGGCAGTTGTTTATCCCTTCTTGCCCCCTAGCTAAAAACACTTTTTTTTTTTTGTTATGCTCAGCATTCATCGTCAACCTTAGTTATTCTGAGCCTTAGTACCCTTTTTTCAAAATTCAATTTTATTTTTATTTTCAGTTGGGCTTTAATATTCAACATTATTTGTTCAGGACTGTGCAAGAATCATTCTTATTCAACAATTATTTAATGAAGGCTTACCATGTTCAAATAACTTCTTTGTATAATAGTTATTTGTATGCATGTCATTTCCTGTCCCCCCATTCTTGATGATGTATTGGCTATATGTTAATTAAGTTTTCTGTTTCTTCCAGTGCCTAATATAATGGGTCCTTTATGTTAGGGATAAAAGGAAGATCAAATAAATCATAGTACTAGGACTTGGGGTGGATGGTTGATAGAGAAAAAGCTATAAAAAGCTTGTTGAATTCTAAAGTGAATTGAATTTATAAATGTTGAAGGTTCTTTAAAGAGATGTCATCAAATAGCTTACAGTCTAATTGAGAAAACAAAACATCAATTTGTCACAAGATAATTGACAATTAAAGGCAGTTAAATAGTAGTTACTATGGGAATTCAAAGGAAAGAGATACCACTGTACAATGCGGTATGGTCCTTCAAAAGATTCATGAAGGAGGTGAAATTTCAGTTTGGATTTGAAGGATGGGTAAGATTTATACTTGTTCACTTTATTCAATTGTCACATCTTCCTTTCTAGGGTGATCATGTGTGGGTGGATTTGTCTTCCAACAATGTCCCCATTGGTGCAGTTGTGAAGGATAACACTAACCCTAATAAAATCTTGGTAGAAGATGATGAGGGAAAGGTAAGCGCCTCCTATCATTGATTTTTGCCAGAAGGAAACCTTTCCTCAAATAGGGACTCATATCACACTCTGTAGAAGTTTCCTGTAAGACAGAGACCTTCTACTATGGAAAGGCTACTCTTCTAAGACATTGGTTCCAAACACCAGAAAAGAAGATGATAAAGGCAAAAAAAAAGGCTAAGAGAGAAAAAAAATTATAATGATGAAATCTTGAGTACATATATTTTTAAATAAAAAAAATTAAAGCCAGAATAAATGGATGATAACTGAAAACTAATAGGGCAGCTGGATGGCTCAGTGGATAGAACACTGGGCTTGGAGTCAAGAAGACCCACATTCAAATCCAGCCTCAGACACTTACTAGCTGTCTGACCCTAAGCAAGTAACTTAACCTCTGTTTGTCTTAATACGCTGGAGAAGTAAATGGCAAATCACTCCAAAATCTTTGCCAAGAAAACTCCATGGACAGTATTGGTATGCTATGGTCCAGGGTGTCACGAAGATTCTAACATGACTGAATGACTGAACAACAAGAAAAATTCAAAGCTAATATTGCAATATGGCTTTGAAAAACACTTTTATTTTGACATAACACTGGAAATCCAAGGGTTTGGGGGAGTGGGAAGGGAATGTTAGGGGAAGGACTTGGGAGAGAAGACATGACAGGAGAGAGCATGAGAGAGAAAAGAAAGGTATGGATTGGGAGAAAGGAGGGTGCTTTAAGTGAAGGAAATTGTGATTAAGTGAAGGAAAAGTAAGGTCAGATGAGTGAAGAAAAATACGAAATTCTAAGGAAAGAAGAGGATGTAAGCGAAAAAAGGAAAAGTGAAAAAACTATGTTGGGGAAAAAGAATATGAGGAGAAAGACTATGAGGAGAAAGATGAGGATGTGGGAAGGAAAAAAAGGGAAAAATAGGATGAGGAAGAAAGAAAAGGGGAGGTAAAGTATGAAATAAAGGTAACGAAAAGTGAGAGGAGAAGGAAAATTGGGGGAAAGAATGACAGAAAATTAGAAGAAAGAAGTCAAAGAATGGTTTGGGGGAGGTAGAAGAGAGGAAGAGCAGGAAGGCGAAGGAATTTTAAGAAGTGAGTAGGTAAAGAAGAGCTTGTAGGGAAGAAGTAAAGTGCGAAAGGAGACTATGAGGAAGAAGAATATGTGAGGGGAAAGGAAGAAATAAAGACATAAAGGAGGGTGTGAGGGAAGAAAAACTAGAAGGAAGATAAGGGGGATATAATAGTGTAAAAGGAGATGAGATAAAGGGGATGGGGGAGGAAGTGAAGTGGAAGAAGGAAGTGTACTAACCACAGCCAGACATTTCAGACTCATATTTGGCTGATAGCACATGCCAGGATCATGATCCACAGGGGCTAGCCCTGGTTCCAGGATAGTGTCAGTTTTGTTCATGCTGGTCCTTCTAGCAATGGATGAGGCAGAGCTCCATCAGGAACAGGCTTTGTGGCAATCTAGAGGGAGGAAGAAAAGAATGATACAATCTGCTCTAACTGTGTGCTGTCATCTCTGTATCATAGCCCACCTCCTCCCCCAGGCACTGCCCCGACTCTAACCATGAAATCTGGTCTCATTGCAGACTTGAACAGTCCCTGGATCAAATGTTTAAGAGTTCTTTTATATGATTTTAATAAGGCGATTCTAACCTAGGTTACAGCATGGTAGTTAATAATTCCAAAGTCACAGGTATAATTCCTGCACAGGCCAGGATATGTTTGTGAGAGGGCATTATGTCTGCTGCCTACAGACTAACTGACTCCTAATCCCAGCTCCAGCCTGGTCCCTACTAATCGTCATTTGCCTTTAGCCACAGGAGGAGTGGGCAAGAAAGTGTGGCTAGGGCAGGATAAATCCATTCCTACTCCTAGGAAAACAGTGGGTCAGTAGTAAGATTTCCGTGAGTGGAAAGCATCTCATTAAGGAAATTCTAACCCCCCATTTTTTTTTGCCCAGGAACGCTGGATTGAAGCTCGGGACTTCAAATGCCTCCAACTCATGAACCTCAGTTCAGCTCAGGGGATGGAAGACATGATACTCCTGGGGGACCTGAATGAAGCTAGTATGGTGCACAACCTTCTCATCCGCTACCAGAAGCACAAAATCTATGTGAGTCTCAAGGAATTGGCCTCCATGCAAGTAGCAGTACAATGTCAGCCCTTGAAATTCCAGGAGTAATATGGAATGGAATGGAAATGCATTTATTAGGTGCTCACTATGTGCCAAGCATCGTACTAAGTACTGAGACTACAAGTAGAAAAGTAAGATAGTCCCTGTGTCTCACACTCTACATGGGGGAGACAACACATAAAAGAGGGCTCCATTCATGGCCAATGGAAAGGCCAGAGAGTGCTTGGGTTATGGCAAAGAAAGCAGCAGGACAGAAGGCAAAGCCCTGAGGATGGCATCAACCCTGCCATGAGTGATGGTATCCAATCAAGAGGATAGTGAATCTAAAGATCAGATTGGAGTTGACCTCTAGGATACCTACAGCAAAGGAGAGGATCATGTCTCTTAATTCCTGTGTGCTCTCTCCTTTCTGAGAACAACACACCGCCCTAAATGGAATGGGCACTTACTCCGTGAACGCTACTTCTAGAGCTCTGCCTTTGGATGAAAGAGTTCTGTTGTTGCTTCAGGGTACCTGATGCCATCATTTATTGGGGGTGGGCTTTTACTTGGCCCTACCCTTGGACACAGATAAGGTCCCACCCCGGGATGTGTCCTGTGATAAGGTTGCTAAATGAGTAAAAAAATTGTCTTCCCATTAAGGTAAATAATTTCTGACAACCACTCTCTGCTGCTGTCTACTATATGTAATTCTAAAATTGTGACTTTATAGCAACACTAAGTCATTGATTTCAGGGGTTTGAGAAGGGTTGATGAGTCCTTCAAACCTTTCTGATTTGCAAACTGGTGCCTGAAAGCCTGTTATCAAGCTTCAGCTTAAGGTTTTGTTCCTTGTTAAAATAAATGGGAAACCACATTCTAATCTCTTAACAATCATTGGTGCCTTAGTATGAATGAAGGAGCTGAGAAACAGATTTGGACAGGAAAGAGGAGGGAGAAGGTATTAGGGGTCTGGATGTATTTGTGGCTGTGGGGAGGAGATAAGGTTAGCTAGGGAAGGAAACAGGCCATGAGACAGAGAAACTAAGAGCCCTGAAGACAAACCAGCAGTTTCTCAATTTTCCCTGGAAGAATACTAAGTCAACTCTAGGTTATACATCTATCGCATGGGAGTTGGGCTGGTTCCTTATGGCATACTGCAGCCTTCCATTGTTAATAACACCATTAGTACCCATATATGTTGAAATAATAATAACCTCCCAAATGGTCTCTCCTTTCTAGAAGTCCCATGCTATCATGGCAGGGAACTGGGCTGACAAGCACTCCTTAGAATAAAAGAAGTGGTAGAGCAGTCTTGCTTACCCATCCCCCTTTACCTCCATTACCTCTTCTTTTCTTTCCTCTTTTCTTTACCTTTTACCCCACTCATGCCTTTTGATCTGAAGAGGGCTTGCCAATCCAGCCCCCCGTCACAAGAGTTTGGCATATTATTAGCCTAAGCAGAATACCAGTAGGTAGCTATCTCAAGCGTCACTTTTGTGGGCCATGGTTCATGGATACGTCACAATTTCTTTTCATTTCCACAGACTTACATAGGTACGATCTTGGTGGCTGTGAACCCCTATCAGGTGCTGCCCATCTACACTATGGACCAGATCCAGCTGTACTACAACCGGAGGGTAGGAGAACTGCCCCCTCACGTCTTTGCTATCGCAGACAGCTGCTATTTCAATATGAAGAAAAACAAGAGAGACCAGTGCTGCGTTATCAGGTATCATGGGAGGATTGGATTTCCACTTACAGAACTGAGATGTGGGAGGTCATAGGACAAAGAAGCCCAGAGTCAACCTTAGGAAGAAGCAGAGTAGGCGAGTACCTGCATGGTGGAAAATGAAGAACGTGTCCAAATATCTCATAGAATCTCAGTTACAAAGGTGGGAGGGACCTTAGTGGCTATCTAGTCCAAAGAGTGCCTAAACAAGAAAGTCCTCTAAAACATGCCTACTCTTTGCTTGAAGACTGGACACAATGTCTTCACTCTCCCCAGAGACGACTCCTTTCACTTTTGAGGAGCTCATGTTGTTGAAAAGGTTTCTTTTTTCCCAGTTGGATCAAGCCTATATTTTCTTCCTAATAACTTCCACCCATTGCTTCTAGTTTTGGCTCCTGAGACCAAGCAGAACAAATCTATTCTCATCTTTATGACAATTCTTCAAATGTTTGAAAACAGTTACCCTGTCCCACTTAATTCTACTCTGCTCCAGGTTAAATTAGAATCCATATTCCTATGTAACATATAAAATATGTATTAATAATGGATGAATAAGTAAAATAATTTCTAATAATCATTAACCCTTATAAAATCATAATGAACTGGCTAACACTGATTAGAGTTTGAGTAGGGGTTTTCAAGGAAATCAACTTTTTCAATTCCTTCAACCAGCTCTTGTATTAGCATGAATTCAAGGTGCTTCACCATCCTATTTGCCCATCTCAGGTCACTGGAGTTTATCATTGTCTTCCTAGAAATGTAGAATTCAGGCCCGAGCACACTTCTGTATGTATAATCTGACCAGAGTAGAGTAGGGAAGTCCTATTACTTTTTTACTCCGGGCTGCTGCTGCTTGCTCTTGCTACAATTTGTCTTTTCTTCTCAAAGAGGACCATAACATCAGGGAGGTGATGCCATGACATGCAAGTGAATTGGATTTAAGTGAGGGAGGGTTGTGCAAAGTCACCAGCCTCACTTTCACCTCTGGGTCTGGTGACCAGATATAGATCAGGACAACTGGAGATGGCCCAGGATGCAGTGGGGAACCCTGGCCTTTTCAATCTGAGGTCTTTAACAGGTTTCAGTTTGACTGAGGCAAAGCCTATTCGATGATTAAGGCTTAGTAAGCGATTAAGGCTTCCTGGATGACATTACTCCCTTGATACAATCTAAATTTGCATTCACTTTCTTGGCTGCCGCTTCATACTATTGACTAACATTGAGCTTGCTGTCTACTAAAATTCCTAGATCTTTCTCAGACGAACTTGTGCCTAGCCATGCTTCCCCCATCATAAAGGCGATTTTAAAAAAACTCACTCATAAGACTTTACATTTATCTCTTGTCCCAATGTGCTGCAGCCGATTCCTGGAATTCAGTCATTATTGTTTCATTCTTTTAGGTCTTCAAGACTTTTCATCTCCAAGAATCCCTATTCGCATGCAAATACATATCCCATATGCCCTTAAAGTACTATAAAAAAGAAAAAAAAGGCTTCATGTTCAAGGATACATGAATTATACAGTGATATAGGGATGTCCTCTGGGATTCTAACTATTATTTGTGATTATGAGAAAAAGATGAAAGGAACCTAAACATCAACAATTGGAGACTGATCAGGCTGTGGTATACTGATGTGTGGAATACCATAATGCAATTTACAACAAAAAATACTGGAATATAAAGAAATGCAGAGAGGTGTATGAAATCATTCAAGGTAAAGAAAGGAGAACCAGAGAGAGTTTATACAATGCTTATGATAGCATAAAAGGAAAAGATAAATGCAGATATAAGGTTGAATGAACCTTTGTTCATTTAATGAAGAGGGACCTAGAGAAGAAAATGTGATAAATAATAAGGGTAAGATGTAATAGGTAAGGCTCTTTTAAAAAGCATAATTGGCTGCTAATGAAAGCTTGACTGTGTTATCGTTTAAAGTCAAGTTCAATTGAATAAAGTTTATTAAGTTGCCTGCTATGCTCAAGGCACTGTGCTAGGCACTGGGGATGAAAAGAGATAGCTCAAAATAGCCCTTGCCTTAAGAAGTTTACATTCTACTTGGGAGGGGTTTACTACATGTACCCAGATAAATAAATACAAGTTACTTAATAATAGCTAGCATTTATATAGTATTTTAATGTTTGCAAAACACTTTACAAATATCTCATTTGATATAACAACCTTGGGAGGTAGATGCTTATTATTATCTCCATTTTACAGATGGGGAAACTGAGGCACAGAGCGATTACATGACTTTACCAGGGTCACAACTAGCATGTGTCTAGCAATTCAGATTTGAACTCAGGTCCTCCTGACTCCAGACCCAAATTTCTATCCACCTAGCTGCTTTTATATATGAAAATAATTCTACACAAAGCAAGTCTAAGTGAGAGACAGGTGCAAAAACCTGGGAGAGTCAAGAAAGGCCTTATTTAAGAGGTGGTGCCTAAGCTGTGTTTTGAAGTAAGCTGTGGACTCTCAGCAGTGACAGTGAGAAGGGAGGACATTCCAGACACAGAGCCTGTACAAAAGCACAGATGAGTGATAGAAGTTAAGGTACAGGGCACAGCAAGGAGGCCGGTTTGTGTAGAGAGTATGTGAAGGGGAGAATGTAAGTTTGAAATAAATTACCTTTCTAAAATAACATAACAATAATGGCTAATGTTTATATATGTGCCAGGCACTCTGCTAAGCTCTTTATAATTCCTATCTCGTTTGATCTTCATAACATCCCTGGGAGGTAGGTGGCATTATTATCCCCATTTTACAAGTGAGGAAACTGAGGCGGAAAGATGTTATGTGATTTGTCCAGGGTCACGCAGCTAGTAAGTTTCTGAATCCAGATTTGAACTCAGGTCTTCCTGACTCCAAGCCCAGGGCTACTAGCTGCTTGTGCTAAACTGTTGACTAAGAACATGATCCCACGAAATAGGACACAGGATAAATGTCTTGTGGCATTTAAAAAGTTTAAGAGATATAATTTCTGGGTAATTAGTCATTTTATTAATAATGCCAACATTTTAATAAAAGAAGTCAGTGGCACTCTCAAATGCCAAAGACAATCATGGCAGTTTACAGCTTATATGCCCTTGAAAGAGGGGTGCTCCTGAGGGTGGCAACCAACTCTGGTTAGCAATTAATGAGAGAGAATGAATATTATAATAAGGGGCTGATCTATTCTAATTCTTATGTTATTTACTTCTAAATTACCCCAGAGCCCTGAGCAATCTATTCAAAGAATTTATCCTCACACAAACCTGCATAAGAAGGTTGGGCGGGATCTCACCAAGATTGGGAGAGTTAATTCAATATCATTATCAGTAATGTCCTTCAAGAGACTGATCTTTGAAATGAGGACTATAGAAAAATGGGGAACTCTGGATCTCCCCAAATTATTTGTTGTTAATAATCATTTCTTTCCATCTGCATTTGATAGGGCCATAATAGTTGCAAACTTGTTGAAAATGGAAGTAGAAAGTTTGTAGCTGCCTGAACTCATCTCTTCCTATTTTGAAGGGCATGTCATTTTGATTCCCTGAGATCTGGTTTCTTGGAAGAAAAGAGAGGAGGTCAGAGAAAAGGTTTTATCTGTCAGTAACCAAATACCAAGCATGGAATAGGTATTCAAAATATTTGTTGATTGATGGAGGAAAGAAGAGTGGAGGAGAAAAAAGAAGAGGGAGAGGAGAAGGAGAAAAATAATGTGGAAATGATGGGGAGACATCATTAGGCAGGAGCCTGGGTGAAAAAATATCTGGGGACTTTGATGACATGCAAGCTCAATGTGAATCTATAGAGTGATGTGACTATGAAAAAACCTAATGCAATCCTGGGATCAAAAGAGCCTCTGGGAATAAGGCAGTAATTAATAATCCCCCTATACTTTGCCACAGTCAGACCACATTTAGATGACTACATTCAGTTTGGAGCATCACAGTTTAGGGAGGACATTGATAAGCTGGAGAGGGTCCAGAGCAGGACAGCCAGGATAATAAAGGGTCTAGAGTCCATTATTTCATGTAAAGATTGGTGGAAATAACGAGAGGTGCATAGCCTGAGGAAGAGAAGACTCAGGGGGTGTCAGGACAGCTGTCTTTACGTATTTAAAGTGTAGTCATGAGGAAAACCATCAGTCAGTTAATACGCATTTATTAAGCCAGGCACTGGGCTAAGCACTGGAGATCCAAAGAAAAGGGAAAAGACAGGCCTTGCCCTCAAGGAGCTTGTAATCTGGTGGACGAGACAACATGCAAACACCTATATACAGATTTTTGTTGTTGTCCAGTTATGTCCAATTCTTCATGACCCTGGAGTGATTTGCCATTTCCTTCTCTAGTTCATCTTACAGATGAGGAAACTGAGGCAAACTGGGTTAGGTGACTTGCCCAGGGTCACACAGCTAGTGTCTGAGGCCAGATTTGAACTCAGGAGGATGAGTCTTCCTGACTTCAGGCCTAGCACTCTAACCACTCTCTGACTTCCTCTCTTCTCTTCCACGAAACCAGATCTCAGGGAATCAAAATGACATGCCCTTCAAAATAGGAAGAGATGAGTTCAGGCAGCTACAACTTTTTCACCTCCAGCTTTAACTAGGTGCCTGTGACTCCCTAATTAGAATTGTCCAAAAATAGAAGGGGTCACCTCCAGAGAAAGTGGATTCTTCCCCATTGGATTCAAGCAAAGATTGAAAGATCCCTTGTCCAGTATGTTGTAGTGAAGATTCCTTCCAAATGGCCATTGAGGTCTACCTCAAATGCTTCTGATTCTGTGAGCTAGAAGCATACAGAAAAAGAAAAGGAAAGAGAAAATCAGAGATAGAGGGAGAAGAAAGAGGAGAACAGTAACACAATATAAGTGGGTTTTGTTTAATCGTAAGTGGGATTAAGTTAGAGTTTATCAATAGGAGCTCTAACTTATTTCTCCTTATTCTCCTTGATCCACCTCAATACTGAGCCTCTCACATCTAGTCCCAAGCGTCTGGCCTGCAGCACCTTCAGAATGA